TACTGCTAGGTTACCCAGGCCAAGGCAGGTGAATTTTCTTGAATTCACAACCGGAGCCTTTGGCTAACTAAAGCCTGACCCGCAAGGCAACGGGGCGGTGTGTGGAAATCGTAGTCCATTGGAGGCCGGTGTCTAGTTCATCGGATCGTACGCCTTTCGGACGGGGTCGAACGTCTTAGGTGCCCGATACACCTTGATGCCCAATCGAGCCGGTGACCACTGCCACACCGAGGAGGGTGTGGACGAGTGTGGTTCGTACGCCTCTTCTTGGTTGGTTTGGAGTCAGGGTTTTTTGATCAACTCCCTTGGGTGAACTATCAGTGGTCCACCAACCCGGTTACAGCCCCGGATGTCGGCTATTCGGCCCCTCACTTTGGTGGGAAAACACCTCTACTACGAGAAAGCAGTAAGTAGGGCTTCCTCAATAGCGGCTATTTGAGACTCTTGGTCATATGACAGGTGCAAGGACAGGGTGACTAGCCGCAACCCTAGCCACCCAGCCCCGACCGTACTTTCGGTGGCACCAAGGGGGAGAAACTCAATAATTGCGAGAGAAATTAGTTATAGTAAACATGTTCGGAGCAAGTAATCCATAGACACCTTGGACCCATGATTAAGGTTTCTAAATATTTCAAGTGAGTAATGGAGGATTCGATTCAATTTCAAAGGTGAATTCGTCGTTTATATAGTAAATGAAGCGTGAACTGAAAAGCTAGGAAGCTCCGATTTGTTAATCCTGCCTTTGCAAGGAGTAAGATTATAAGCGGTTTGTAATGCGGAGATGAGAAATGTTCCTCATTTTTTCTGTCTAGTGGAAAAGAAGGTTGGAAGATAGATGTCCCACATCTAATAACAGAAAATCGATATGAGTTGCGGGTCGCGTGAGATGGATGGGAAAAGTAAAACTGGAGGGGAACCATCTAAGCGAGTAACGGAGAGAAGAAACCCAAATGGTAAAAGTGGAGAAGAGATAACTGCATGGTAATGGGTAAGCGAATACAGAGCTGAAATTAAAGGCGGTTCGTTAATCAACCTGTTGGTCGAGAAAAGAACGTGTGGAATCCAAAGCTCCACCCCACACGTGACCGCAGTATTCGAACATCGGGTGGATTCGATGTTTGTATCAAGGGAGGAGGCGCTTGGGTCGAAAGAACCATCTGATACGGAAAAGGAAACCAACTTTGCGCGCAGCGCCAGTGATAGCGAAAGATAATCAGCAGAGAAAAAATTATGGGTAAACCCAGGATAGAGAGAATTCGTGGAACAGTGGGGGAAGAGACGTGAAAATCAATTGAGGAGAATAAACAGCATGTTAAAGGCAGATTAAGATCAGGGGATCATAGTTTGACCGAGTTGGAAGTGTGGATGCAAATACATATGTCTTGAAGCACAATCTCAATGAAGTTTGAAACAGAAATGGAAACAGCAGCATTCATTCTAGGGATAGCAAACCAGAGAGTCACGAAAACTGTCTTAGTCGCAACACCAAAAGGTGCTTGTGGAATTAGATGGTGAAATGGAGCGCGAGAAATAAGCGAGAAAGGAAATGAAGCAACGTTTCAGAGAACCATAGAGGGGAGAGGGAAGTGGTGTTGGAGAATGAAGAGGCAATAGATGTATAAGGTTAAGGGTGTGGGGGTGTCACCATTAATATCGGGGATGCTTTCGGGAAGGTCAACTAGTAGCTTCAGGTTGTTGACCACAACAAAAGCCCCGGCCTTGCGTCCCATGATCCAGTCATCTGAGGAGTACATCAATCGTTCTTTGTTGTAGACATTGAAGTCTCTGACAATGGTAATTTGGTTGTTGGGATCTGTCCTCATTGATATTTCAATGTTTGACGATGGAATATGAAAGATGGAAGAACCGTTGCTGCCCGGGGATCGGTTAATGGTGAAAACCGAAGTTCCAACCACAAGCTGGAATTCATGGTTGAAGAAATGGAGCTGTGAAATTCTGGAGGAAGCTACAGAATGATGCATATAAGCATGGACACCAGCTTTGAGGTTAAATGATTGGAGAAAGCAATTAGGGAAATGGAGGGGAATGGCGTCTGGCGAGTTGGAGATTGGTGTTTTGGTCAAAATTAAAGCCGTGGTAATGGATAAAGTGGTGTATAGAGTGAACATTTCAATTCAAGCTACGAATGCTGGCTAGGGCAGTGGGAGAGTTGTTTTAGTTCTTAGAGTGCGCATGTAATGATTCACTTGAGTTGTACAGTACGCCCAAGAGGTTTTTGGCGCCCCATAGAGCTAATGATAGCATAATTAGCGATCATAAGACCGGTTCATACGTTTCATATCATGAGGTGTTTGGAATCAGAGTTTTTGACAACTTCCCACAGCATGTTATACGTCATTGGTTATCCAAACTGAAACTGAGTAAAAGTGACGTTTATAGATTTGAGCAGAGTTTTACCTATTAAGAGTCGATATTTGTTAGGTTCATGGGCTGATAGCTTAATTCGCAAGTATGCACCAGTTTCGAGGTTCAAACCCCACTACAGATGCCTAACAGTTGCGCGCTCATAGCATGTATTACACAAGGGCATTTGGTGATTTGCCACAAGCCATGCGATTAAGGTGTCTGGTTTTAACCAGGCAGCAGATCCGCTGACTGATGGGTTTTGCCCCCCGCTTAATGCTCGCTACCTTATAGTGTGCAGCAAAATAATCAGATGCATTAGTAATTTCAATACAGCTCTGGTTCAAAGGTGAATTGGAGCAGATCGTTTATTGCAAGTTCTGCGCTTCGGGTTGAGATTAGGTTGTACAGGTTAGACTTTAAAGTCAAAATCTCTGGTAGTGGTTCACCAAGGGAAACCGTTACTTGTTGACGGCTACCGCAAAGTATGTTTTGTCCTGAAGTCCGACCTGCCCTCTGGGAAAACTCCCTTATCTCTAGCTTTTATTTCAGTCGCCTGCTGATGCTCCTCCAAATATTTCACTGTTTGACTAGCGAGATAGATAGATCATAAGCCATAAGATTGGTCTTCCTTTCACTTACATTCAATGGCCGCACACTGTCAGATCAACAAGCTAGAACCCTTGGAACCTGCAACGTAGTCGCATGCCGTGTCTCCGAAACACGCATGCAAGAACCGACTTCAATAATCCCTCTACGTTATTCAGATCTAACCTCAGCCTCGCGATTCCCTCTATCTGTCATGCGATCCGGCCTGAAACGCTTGATATGTTACCGGTGTTGTGATTCATTTGTCTCAAGGCTAAGAATTTGCTTCTTGCTGGATCCCAGTAACTAGTGGACTATATTCTCCAGAGTATGCTAGTTCAGTTCAGGTCAGCAGCAACAGAATAAGCGCCGCTTATTCATCTTATCTGTGTATACGTCGATAGACTGCAGTTCTCCTGAGATACAAGATAAGTTCTGTAACCACTTCTCTAGATGGCTGTAGTGTCCGTTAAGCATACATTGTATTTATCTCTGTTGACTTTAATGCGCAGATGGGATCCTTGGATGAATCAAAATAGTGTCTAGGCGACCCATATACACTCCCGTTCAACCGAACAAACAATAAAGATAGCCCAATTCAAATATGCGCATTAAATTCTCATATAAAAGGAAAATTACCTTATATGGAAGCGTCCCCTCGCTTCGTCGCAATAGATGCATATCGACCAAGTTGCAGTCGTCTATCGATAGCGAGTATCTATTCAAGACTGATGTTCCTATTGATCTACGCCCGTGGGAACGGACCGCGCTCTGGTACGACTCCAATTCTACCTGTCTGGTAAACAACGGCACCAAACCCACCGAAAACAGATGCAAACAGTACCGTACGAGCGATCATTGCAAATAGACCTTTGAAACGGATCTCTCTTATCGCCTTTCAATTTCCTCGCTCGCTGAGGTTTCCTGTAAACAATAGAAGTTGATCAAAAAGACAGTTCAAACTTCCATCAAAGGTACGATGGACTCCGATATACGACCAAAGCACAAACGACAGATTTCCTCGACTTCGGCCGTTTCGTAGGATGCACCTGTTCGCACAACTCAGTTTCTTTGCAACCGTCGTCTACCTGAATCCTTTATTTTGATCTTGGTACCGTTTCCAACATTCTAAGTCTTCCTTGCACCGTTCATCCAGAGGACCAATGAGGACCACCGCACAAAGGGACAAGGTTGATGATGCTGCGAACTGAAACCGAATAGACATCCGTTTCACGCTTCGTTTTGTTTTAATGTATTCCTAACATTATCGCGTGGTTTATTTCTATTTTTCATTCCCCTCCCCGTACTGATGGCCTACTGAAATAAGAAGAGACAAAATTTAACCCTGAAAATGTCTGAATTTGTCGTATGGAGAACAGCTTTTGTCGTTCTCTAGTCGAACCGGTTTTTTAATAAATAAAACAATACCAAACCCAAACAGCTATGGGAAACGTACTGGCCAAATATAGCTGCCAACAGATTTTAAAATGTTCGCGTATTAAACCGACTGTAAATACCATCCCCTTTGGCTAATATAAACCCTACAGAATTCAGACCGCGTACAATGGTATCAGGAGTGGATAGTTTATGAGTGCGGAGATTTGGGAATTCAGCAATGTTATCACTCGATTCAAGGTTATTTTCCCAAAACTCAACAACACAGGTGTCGTGATAAGTCAGAAACGGTTGTAATACTTCTGTTGATCATTGAAAAGACAATTGAAGCAAAAACCTTTTTTAGATTATTCATTCTCAAATCTACACGTTAATGTACAATCACAGAGCAATAACCGCAAATTCGGGATTCATCCATTTTACTGTTAATTGATCTGTGGCCACCCTGTGATCGTAAACTAATTGAAGAGCTTAGTAGTGATCAATCCGAAAGAAATCATTGAGTTGTGAAGTAGAACTTAGGGTATGGGATTCTGACCGGAGTCATTCCACCACTGAGTGTTCAATCATTAAGATTAATTGCATACATGTTTTCATTCGTTTTCCGAGAACTTTCGTTTCACTGTCTTCTGTTTGCATTCTGTCCTCAGTCCATGATCAATATTGTGAGTTTTATGACGGATATTTGGAATCGCTCATTCTGCTCGCAGTGTCTGAAAGAACCGGTCCAGACCACGATGGTCCCATGGAAATACCGATTACTCAAACAGGATTCACTGACTTATTGGGATTCTAGTGCTTCCGTCCACAAACTTAATCTTCAGCAGCCTACAAACGACTTCTACAATGTGGAGGTATACAACAATGTGACTGTGCAGTTCTTTATCTTACTAAATGATACGTTGAATTGTCTGTCCCCTTTCATTCCGAACAATACCGCTTCTATACTGGACATCCTCTCTTTTCCCACCCCGGAGAAACTGAGCATTAATCGTTCTGTTTGTGCGCAATGCTCGCAAGTCTATCTTGAGCTTATTCACTTTTACGAAGAAAACTTGCTCCGGGTAAACATTGAACTTGGCGGTGGCGTAGAACTAGCTGGTCTGAGACTTGTCGAAAACAATCGCTTTTCCGTGTGCTCTGATATACAAAACGCGTTGAACCGGACTCAGTGGGCCTGGGCCAAATTGTTTGATTGCCATTCAGTGGAGCGGAACACTCTGGGCGCATTTATTCCACTCATAGTGTGTGCAGTTGCCCTAGTCCTGTTCCACATTATGTCCTACACCATTTGTCGTCATCCGGTCCAAATGATGATCTACCGACCGAAACGCGTTGAATTGCGGCTTCGATCGGGGATGTCCAATAGTCATATGACTGCTTCCACCACAATTCGGGATCACTTGTCTAAAGCACCATCCTACGGCAGTATGGCCTCATCTTCAACACAAAATGCAGTACCTACTGGGGCGCCTAATCAGAATAAGCAACCTGAAAGGAGAAACAGTGATTTATCTCATCTATGATGAGGATGTATATGTCTGCATAGCCTTCCGCGAAGTATCAAGAACCCTTGTGAAATGAATACCAATTAGTTCATTTTCATCGAGACAGCAATAACTCATGCATCCGGTCACATACTTCTGTTCGCAGCAGCGTCATTCCTTATCTCCGGGCCAATGTCCCATCAGATTTGCCACAGATCCTTCGATTTCTACTATTTTGTTTTCAATGTTCTGAAGTGTACGTCCCATAATTTCGATGAGCATTTTTTCAGTCAAGGCAGTAACAAACTGATTTATCGAAACAGAAATAAAAACAAAACCCCAGATAAAGGATATTCTTATTGTTCACTTTGTCAATCATTTTAATTATGCTTTCTTGGAATTGTTTTAACACATCATTGATCTAAGATATTTCAAAGATTATGCATGGATCATTTTACAACTTACCAATGTTGTCAACTCGTGAAAACCTTCGGTCTCCGATGTTCCTTTTGTCAACACCTTCTCACCATCTGACATGCTTATATCTTCAAAGATTTAACTAATTGATCAGCTGATTCAAATTATTTGTTTTCTTCTTTGCATGCGGTCATGTGACTGTTCGACGGACATGTTAGCCAAACAAATATCACGTGATTAGCGAAAGTTTTGAGATATGGGATCCACAAAATCACAACAAACCTTGGACCATTTTACATTTACTTTCGATCTGTTTGAGGTAGTTACCTCATTATTTTTGGAGGGAAATAAAAATGGGTTCAGGTCTGCATTTCCGAAATTCGCTGAGATATACAGTATGTTTTCATCAAAAAACAAAAAGGTTGAAACTTGGGAGCCCAACTGTTTTCTCCACGTCTCATAAAAAATCCTAATGAATATTAATTCGTTTTTTTAGTTTTACTTCCTTTTATTGTAAATATACCGACAATTCTCAAGAGGAGCAAGCGCCCAATTAAAAGGGTAACCCTACAGTACAGTGGAAAAAACCTGGTGGTAGTAGTGGGATTCGAACATACGTCCTCCGGGGTGATAATTTGGTGACCGTTACCACTCGACCACCAGAATTTTCGAATATGAAGAGTTTTGATAGAAGCGTATTTTACTTTACAAATAACAGAATCTCCCTTTTTCATCTGGCCGACTCATCCGATAGGTTCCATTTCTGTCCTTGTTACCTATGGTTTTTGAAAATAACAAGCGAGTCTTACGCGTTTTGCAGACTGTTGAGCAACTTTGTAAATCCTCTTGGGTGAGAGGAAAAGTTAGATCGATTGCCTGTTTCAGCCAACTGTCGCCCATCCTCCTTTTCTCATCTGCTCCTTCACCGTATCGTGCGATGCATCATGATTGATTCAGGAGATCGATAAACTACGCTACTGGACCCTGCTGGGATAATCAGCGTGGTGTTAACTGGATTATGACCGTTTACTTTCTTGTGAATGTGTGGGTTTTAGTCAATCTTTGTGTTTAAACCTACTTTCGAAAAATTCTAAAATTAAAATTAATCCGATTATTGAAACTTAGTCCCAGTACAGCTACTCCGTAGTTTCCAATTTAACAACCTGCTGCACGACCACAACAGATATTTCGGTTAAGTGACTAGAAACGGTCTGCTTTCGGGCACGGTATCGTTCCTCTAAGATGACCGAGTATTCTTTCAAGCTGGATTTCATTTTCCCCACTACTGTCTGACCGAGATTCCTACTTTGGATTTATACTTTTGTCTTTTGGTCGTTTGACAATGGGACAACTACTAAAATACAAAGAAACTTTGAATCATTATTTGCACACTTGGAACAATTTGTTGATTATGAACAAAAGATCCGATACTTAGAAAACTTCGAAAAAAGTTGAACTACATTGTGGAGAGAATCATGGGCTGTGCGTTTGTGTTGACCCAACTCTGTGATCAGTTTCGAAATCCTAATGAATTCGAGGCTGCCATCTATTGTGGTATGCTTTATTTATCCACAATGGTATTGCACCGTTCACGGATAACTGGTTTTCACAAGAAAATAAGCTGAACAGATTTTACAGTTAAGATGCATATCGAGCAACTGTCTCATCACACAGTACTAGAAATTCATGTTTGGGGATTACGATGGCTCCGCGGAATCTAGATAACACCAGAACGAGCTAATCCGAACTGCTTTAGGCAATTCGCCATACCTCAAACCAATTAAGTGTTGTATGCATTAGGAAGGTGCATATTCCGCTGTCACATAGCCATTATCAAAGTTGGTTTGAAAAGTCCTGACTCCAAACACTAAACGGTACGACAACAAATGTTTTTTTTCGTTCTTTGAGAACGCAATTGGGATGTACCCTATTTCTTCCGTATAAGTCAGACCTACATTCTCCACATTCTCACTAGTTTTCAATCGTGTGCACTGTGGCATAGGCGGTGATCAGCAATACTCCGCGTTTGTTCGCCTCACGTTAGTGTGGCCTCGAATCGGACTATCGCTTAGACGGTGTCTGTGAGCCCAAAATTGCAGCAGTAACGGACTTATTCAAAATGCCGTTATTCCTAGCCGCCACATTGGTGAGATTGCCTCAAAAGATGTTAACTCAATTTGAGAACAAAATTCAATTGAGATTACTGATTCAGGTTATTGAGGACGCACAAATTTGTGAGTGCGCCCTCTACATATCCTCATCTGTTATCGATTTTGTGTACTATCTGAGATCAAAGTCTATGGTTCATCCGACCGTGAGAACACAGCTGGTCAATCTCAATCTACACAACCAACTGTGGAATATATCGCGAAACCGGAGCGGGTTTAACCACTACGATTTCCTCATACTGTTTGGTACAGTGTAAACATTGATCATATAATTGTGCCATTGCTATTCGGACCGTGATATCTCTCGTATTCAGATATGTACGTTCGG